TGAAATTTTAAGGGGATGTTTCCTGAAAGTTCTGGCGACCAGTCTTAATTTGTTTAGCTAAAAGCACTTGCTGAAAAAACCGGCAAAACTACGGGGAACCATGCAAAAAACGCATCTTCGCACGGGCAGCCCGTGCGTTGGCCAATTTTTTTATGTTTATTTCTTTTTTTTCATGCGGCTTGATGCAGTTCGAAAGCACTGATCTTTCCTGGGCTTTATTAAGACTTTTTTGTGTCTGCAGTTGTGGGACAAACAGACAGATCCCCATCTTTTCACGCGGATTCGCGGTCGGTAGCTGTGTTCCTTCCCTACATCAGCTCGGGCAGCCCTTTTTCCCCTCTTTGCTGCTAAATCTTTTGTTTTGTTGTTTCTTTAGTGAATCTGAATATCGGAATGTTTGGCTTCATCTGTGTGAAATTTTAGAAATAACCGACAACTTCAGCGATGGAAAACTCTGGATGGCGTTAGTTGGCGATGAGGAATTGTTGGTGCTTCCATTCCGATGGTTCGTTTACGCTACAGCAAGTTTGCCGCTTACTGCGTTATTTTTATGCATCTCGCTGGCACTGGCACTGCATTTCAATGAAGCAACGAGCACCCACTGCGAAGTGGTCAACTATTTACCGTCCATTTCGGCTGCTGTCGCATCGTTCTCGCCCGAACGCTACATCTGGCGTTTTTTTATTGCCTTACACTCGGCGCCACGTCTCGTCGCGGCATTCGCATTCAGGTGACACTTTCATTTCTTTTGCTCATTTTTCAATATTTATACTTTAATTCTTTTTTGGCTGATTCATGTACGCTATGTCCATTTTGCGGAAACATTTGGAGATAAGCAAAGGGGAAGGGGAGATCACCATTGGAGGAACTGAGCGTACAGCCGCCAGTAAAAAGAATGCGAGGATTTCCTGCAGAGAAGAAAGCCTCAGAATGAAAACACCGGTTGTGCCGAAAGGTCGACTTCTCTGAGTGCTGCATTTTCGGCCGTATCGATGTTGTGACAGAAAAATAATTGGTTAAGGGTAAGTATATGAGAGAGTAGCTGCGGCGGTGCTACGATATTCTTACCAAAAGATTAGCTTGCAGTACTTTTTTGATCAATTGTTGCAGAAATTTGTTGCTGACTTCACCGCTAAGGCCGCTGAATGACCGTATATGGTTTGAATTGGGTTGTCATATTGCATGTATTATAAATGTCGCTGAAAGTTTCTCACTTCTTCTGCTAACTTCCATCTCATCCACCGAAAACTATGGTACATTTGTCCGAATTTATTGTGGTAGTATGATTGAAGGCTTTTTTTTAATAGGATAGGAAATATTGTTCGCATCAGTAAAGAAACTGAAAAGTATTGAGCCGAAAAGATATAAAAATACCTAGTATTTTATTTCGTTAAAATGCATACATTCTGTTCGAGAACCGCATTCGGCGCTCTTCAATATATAATGAAAATAATCTGTGTGAATGATGTTGCCCGGATGCTCCTAAACATGCCAGACCGTTCAATCTCAAGCTGCACACAGCCAGTTGTTGCTTAACGATTGGTCGGTATATTTGCGCAACATCTTTAAAAGCCGTCCCAGCACTCATTTAGTTTTTCGCGGGTACCACTCACCGTTACGCATTTCTACCCGTTACTAAAAGGACGACTGAAATGCCATGTCCGTCGGATTTAATTTTCCAGCGATATCCTATACGGCACACATTTGACTGAGCACCGTATAGGATATCACTGGAAAAAGTTGCAGAAATGCATCAAGCATTTCTGACTCCGTTTGCAGTTTCCGCCAGTGCCAACGTTCCCTCTTCTGATTTCATCAGTGACTATGTTTCGCATCCGTACATCTTTACTTCCGTCACACTGTTAATGAAATTACCAGCACAATCTTTTTTGGACCGATCCATAGCAGTTTGCAGCAAATTACAACATATCTTCAATGAAGTAATGCGATTCCAGTCTAGTGTGAGCGACATTATCACAGAAATGTACGGCATAAAAAAGAGTTAGACCGACCGAGTGACGAGAATAAAAGATAACATTTAGATACGGTGGATTTTTAAATAATATCCAGTGTTAAAAAAATGGGGAAAGCCATCAGTGTGACGGAAGGATCTAATTGAACAGCTGTAGAGAATTATGGGGTGAGAAAAACTCAAATTAAGAATGGGGAAGTTGCTAGCGCGTCACTAACGAGAAAGAAGCAAGTATGAAA